AAAGGCCTATTCTCCACACTGTGTGGATACTATCCTTATAATTTTTGGTCAAAGACTTGGTGTGAAATCATACAAAATCTCCACATTTGTATTTCCATTTTTCTTATCACCTTACTGCTTGAACATGTATTTATATGGTAAGGAGAAATTCCATTCTGGGGACGGCCTCAGCTCCCTAAAGCAAAAAGGTTAAATTAACTTCCACAAAACTAATTTAAGGACCTCATCACCTCACCCAGGAGAAGAATTGCAAAAACCAACTTATGGGTGATAAACTTTACAATCAACATTGACCCTAAGCAATTTTTCGTTCTTCTCTGACTCTTTATGCACCTTTGGAACACAGTATCAAAGCAAACTCCTAGTTTATGAGTGATAGAAGGCAAGTCCCCACAGATTTACAAACTTACATTCCTGTTGTGGTCCACATAGATTCATCAACAAGATCCAGTGCAGCATGTGCAATAAACTGATTGAGGTGTCTGTGATCATCTCTCTGAAGATTACAAATCAGGAAATTGTAGACTTTTGTACATTCACATTCATATCCAACCATTATACTTGCATAGCCTAACTTTTTGTTCTACTCTAGTGCTGCAAACAGTCAAATTAAAGTACCACTCATATATAAGCCAACAAAGATAAACGTAGATAGATTAGATTTTGATATGATTTACAGTATGAGTTGATTGACGATCGAACATGGCGAAAATTTACCTTGTAGCTTTCGCGACCTTGAGATGAATCCAAAGATTTCGTTGGTGTATTGAATTCCATTTCTAACACTGGATTATCGCGATGACCGACGATCGCAAAGTAATAGTTTCCCAGCATTTTGATACCTGAAACTGTAATATTAGTTGCCAAAATCTATAACATTTCAGTGCCTGACTTACTGAAATAGAGGAAAGTTTTCTTTCAGGCGCACCAGTGTTGACCGAATCGATTTGAAAAGACTAAGACGAGATGACACTGCATCCAGTCTCCTCTCTGTCTGATCCAAAATGGCGGTCAATCCCATCCCACGCATCATTGCGCGTCGAATTTTTCCGCCAATAGCCTTGCCAGGAAAGAAGAGTGTGGCGCGCAGGGAAAATTTGTGCAAACTCCTTCAAGGTTAATCTGCAGATAGTTAGGCAAATTATATATGGCTTAGCAACTTTTCGACAAGCAGTAAAATCAAGGTTTTGGAACGTGTCTATCGACCTTGCAGGTAATTAGATTAGTATACAGGTACAATTGTGAAAGATTGTTATGTTTTGAAGCGCTTAATTGGAGGGCTTCCAGTTTCCTAGCACTGAAATATACAAAAACCCCGCTGTACATGCATGCAATTAATCATCGTATTAAGGTTGCTAAAGCAATACCCTTGTCAAACGAGCTTCTTTGATCTTTAACTGTGTGTGCTATTTTAATTTATTTACGTTTTATTCTGTATCGACTCTATCTTTTAAAAGGTGAGATCTTTCGTTAACAAATTCGATAATAACGTATGTTCGTAGTTCACAAGTGCCATGTATTTAGTTGGAAGGGACGGAAGATGAACAGTGCTAAACAAGCTGTACATGTCCTCAAACTGGGGTCTGTCTTCGCTGTTTTAAGCTCGAAACCGTTATTTGTGTCTTGTACCTCTTTTTACTGTTATGTGTTGAATCTGATTGTTACGTCTGCCAAGTGAAAGCGGATAAACTTGCATGTTCCTCTTCACAACCTGAGGCAAAATCTTTCGGTGACATCGAGATGTCCAATTAGTCATGCTCTCAAAACAATTTATGGCACATTTTACAATTCCAAACTATCTTGAAGAAGTGTTAAAAAAAAAAAAACCACCTTATTACCAGTGTTTTCAAAGTCCTAAATAGTTATGGCCAAATGAAACTAAATACAGGTCTTTGTACATGCAGGTTTTGCATAGCAAGGTAATCATCAATATTTCATTTTGATTAGCAAGCAGTGGGGTTAGGTAAGAAAAATAAACAAATACAAATTTAAGAAATGAGCCACAGGAAACATTATGCAAATCAAATTTTGAACACTTTGCTTGTCTCCTTTAATTTTGGAGGCTTTGCTTTAAGTATGAATTTGTGTTAAATTTAGGCAGATAATTTTTCACTGTAGAAATCTGAAATCTGTCCAGTGATGCTAGATAGGCTTTGTTATTTGATTATTGCACAGTCTTTTTTATTTTTTTTCAAACTACAGTTATTTATGTATGCATATCAGTGACTGATCCCAAGTTAAGAAAAGGTTCACTTCAGGAAAGAGGTTGTATTAGATTATAAAGATGTGATGGTGGTTTTCCTTGGCTACTACCATTTTCAAGAAAAGAAAATGTCATTTTTAAGTCACTCTTTTGTATTTCACTGATTGTGAGCCTATTCCTTACTTTTTCAGTGGATGTGTATTCTCAATTAAAATTACCAGGGAACCTCTGAAAGAACCATGGCTGAAAGATTAGCATCAGAAGATGCAAGTCGGTCATCCCAGCCTTTGCATGGACCACGTTCTGAGCCAAGGTCACAACGACAGGCTCCTCGTCAATATCCAGCTAGTTTGGATACTGATCTAAGCCTTATTACAGAGCTACGCAGGTCTGAAGAGGAAGCTTCAGGACACAGATCCCTGCCCAATAACCTGGTAAAATTTTATGATATAAACTTTGTGCACATTTTTGCCTCCTTTTAGAACTACAGGTTTTATAGTATATATAATAAAATCATGTGAGCAGTGATGCACAGGTGTTGTTATTGTTTCTGTTGTTGTTGTTATTTTGGTGGTTTTTCCATAGTTTTTTCCTTTAGTTAAACTGGAATTCTGCTGAAAGTCTACCAGTTTCACACACCATGAGAGAAATTCTTAATTATATATGCACATGGCCATTGAAGATTTGGGGTATTTGGGCACCATTACTGGAATAAGTCATGAGATATCCTCTCTTCATTTATGCTAATTTTGGACCTCTCACGTGAAAAGGTTCCTAACTGTAGCCGTTCAAATAGTGAACGGAATGGCAAGCAAAGGGGTGAAGAACGGCTAGGAAAGCAGTTCGAAAAGGATACTGTGAACGGATGAACGGCTAATTAAAATTTTTGAAGGGATGATGTAAAACGGCTGAACAGCTAGTGAAAATTTTCAAATGGACGAGGTCGAACGGATGAACAGCAAATTGAAATTTTCGAATGGATGAGATCAAACGGATGAACGGCTAATTAAAATTTTCAAACGGATTAGGTTGAATGGATGAACGGGTAATGAAAATTATCGAATGGAAGAACGGCTAATTTTTTGAACACTGAGATGAGCCTCACAGATGAGATCAAAATTAATGGATAAACGGCTAAGGCGTCGAACAAGTGATCGCCTGTAGAAATTATTTGAACAGATAGTTTCGTCAACATGAATGCCCACACAGGCATCCCAAGCTCTCGTATTGAGCCAATGTGAAGGATTATTTTTTGAAAGCGTCATGCGTTGGTGACATGGTGTTAAGTTACACGAGGTATTTGACACAATCTGTGAAAAAATCACTTGAAATGAGTCGAAACTCGATCGTTTGAATAACTCAACTTCACTTTCGGTGCATTCAAATGGATTATAATTAATATTTTTGTTATTGAATTCGACCAATTAAGATAAGGTACAACCAAGGAACTTGCATGCGAAAAGCATTCAATTTGATACTTCTCAACTTCAATTCAGGTTTTAATTTCCATAATCCCAGCTTCCCTGTCAGTCCATCAAAAATGCATTGCCTTGGTAACTGCTAACAACTTGTGTCAATTATCGCCATTTCACACAATCACAAAATCGAGAATTCAGCGAGAGAAGATATGGATTGCGATCACACCGAAAATGTTTCAACCATCGTTGCCAAAGTGCCAAGTGAACAGCTGATGAATTTTCTCGAACGGATAGCTCGAACCGTTCGAACGGATGATGAGTATTCAAGAACAGATAGCTGGTGGCGTTCGATTGGATTATGAATATTCAAGAATGGATAGCTAGAGGCGTTCGAATGGATGATGAAGTTTCTTAAACGGATAGCTGGAATGGTTCGAACGGATGATGAATGTTCAAGAACGGATAGCTTGAGGCATTCAACAGCATGCCAATCCAGTCAAACAGCTGGTGAACGGCTATCCGTTTAAAAATGGCTAACCATGCGGAACGTTTTGCTGTGAGAGGTCACATTTTTTCCTCTATTCTCATTAATTCTTTTAGTTCTCACATCCCCCTAGGGTACTTCTTTCTCTCAAACTTAGCTACTCTTTGATATTGAAGGTGATTTTAGGTAACTTTTACTTGCCTTCGACAGGGATGGTCTTCAAGAGCAAGTGCTCTCTCACCATCAGCTGCAAGTGGAGCAACAAAAAAGAAAGGAAAACACTTTGAACAGGTGAAGCTGCCTTCGAAGGCTCGTCCAGCTAGTCCCTCTTCTGATGGTGCCCATTTTACCAGAAAACGGCACCATACTCCAGCTACAGTTCCAAGAACACGTCTACCTCCAGGTACTCCTCTGGCTGAAAGGTTGGCAATGGAAAGTTTAAAGCAAAAATTGTCTTTTGAGGAGAAACCTGAGGTCAGTTTGGTTTGTAATACTCACAGTACATCTCTAGCCTATAGTTAAAAAACTAACTGCTATGATAACTATTATTATTATAATTATTAATT